GTTCGCGATGAAGGATTTTGGGCCGAAGTAAATTTGTGCTTCGCGAACGCGAGGCTGTGGCTGCGTTCGCGAAGAAGGAAATGCCTGGGCAGTATTAAAGTTTCCAAAAAAGAGGGTTAGCCATTTTTATCAAAACTTGGGTTAGAGAGCTCGGATTTGGACGAGAATTTGAGGGATTTTCAGAGTCATCGATTGGATAATGATTCTTCACTTGTTTTTTGTTATATCCCACTAACCTATTACTAATTTCATCTTTTAATTTCGGATTTGGGTGGAAAATTTGGGAAAAATGGGAAGAAGTTCTTCAACTAAGATTTTGGGTTTTGATTGAGATTTTGATATCGGATTTGGATAATTTTGGTACGAGTGAACTCATGAGTGAATGGGTATTCATATTCTGTGATTTTCACCCGATTCCGAGATGTGGGCCCGGGGAGGCTTTTTAGGGCGATTTTCAAAATTCTTGTTAAAGTCTTGATTTTATTAATTAAACTAGTCTATTATAGTTGTATTTATGGTATGAAATTAGTTTTGGCTAGATTTAGGCCATTCGGAGTCGGATAATCGAGGAAAGGGCATTCTTAGTGATTGATTGAGCTTGGTTCGAGGTAAGTGTCTTGCCTAACCTTGTGTGGGGGAAATCCCCTTAGGATTTTGTACTGTTGTGATATCTGAGCGTCGTGTACGTGAGGTGACGAGTACGTACACGAGCTATTTGTTGTAAAACCGAATTTATTTTACTGAGTAGTAACCTGTTTTCCCTTTAATTTGAGTTATACCGTTTAAATGAGTACTAGTCTGTTTTCATTCTCAATTGAGCTATTCCAATATGTGTAGTTATCATGTTTAGTCTAATATCGCATGTCTACGTGCATTAACTACTTATTTGAACTCTGTGAAGCATGCCTAGTTGACTTCTTGCTTTTCCTTGTTCTTTATCAGTATAACTATAGAAATCTTGTTGTTAACTGTCGTATTTATCGGTTTGAGCTGTGTGTTTTCTTTTGAGACTACGAGGCGGTACCTCGGGAGTTCTTCCTGCATATTTACTTTTGAGAGTACGAGGCGGTTCCTCGGGAGTTCTCCCTGCATATTTATTTTTGAGACTACGAGGCGGTTCCTCGGGAGTTCTCCCTGCATATTTGCTTTTGAGACTACGAGGCGGTACCTCGGGAGTTCTACCTGCACATATACTTTTGAGACTACGAGGCGGTACCTCGGGAGATCTCTTTGCTTCTTTATTTCGGGACTATGAGTCGGTATTTTGGGAGATCTCGTGCTGTTTACCCCTATGTTATGCTGCTATTTTTGTTGTGTTTTCCTTTTGTTAAATTCCAGTCTCTTAAAATACTGTTATATTTCCCTGCTTTATTTATTATATACTAGTGGGCTGACCTGACCTCGTCACTACTCGACCGAGGTTAGGCTTGGCACTTACTGGGTACCGTTGTGGTGTACTCATGCTACTCTTCTGCACATGTTGTTGTATGCAGATCCAGGTACTTCTTATCAGCCCCGCTATTAGCTAAGTGCTTGCTGCTGTACGAAGACTTCAAGGTACATCTGTCGCGTCCGCAGACCTAGGAGCCCCCCTCTATTCTCCCCTATGTCAAACACTTCTTGTATTCCTTTTATTAGACTTTGGTGTATAGAGATGCTATTTTCCTTTTGTAGCTTGTGACTTATGATGTTTCGGGTTTTGGAAAGATTGTATATTTATAGAGTATTGGTTATTGTACATGCCAAGCGGCATTGTTACTAGTTATTCAATTATCCACTGCTGTTAGTTGCCAAGTTTTACTTTTGTTTTGTTATTTTCCGTAATTTGTTAGGCTTACCTAGTCGTAGAGACTAAGTGCCGTCACGACGTTATACAGAGGGAGTTTGGGTCGTGACAACGGTGTCGTTTGCCAGTTAGAAGGCTCGAGCCTGGGGAGGCTCGGTTGTTGGGTACAGATTTGGTACAGGATGCCTTGAATAAGGTTAAGATTATTCAGGATCGACTTTACACCGCTCAGTCTAGGCTGAAGAGTTATGCCAACCGTAGAGTTCATGATATTGCATTCATGGTCGGAGAGAGGGTGTTGCTCCGATTTTCACCCATGAAGGGTGTGATGAGGTTCGGAAAGTAGGGCAAGTTGAGCCCTAGGTATATCAGACCCTTCGAGATTCTTTGGGGAGTGGGAGAGGTGGCCTACAAGCTCGTATTGCCACCCAGTTTATCAGTAGTCCATCCGGTGTTTCATGTGTCCATACTCCGGATGTATCACGGTGATCCGTCCCATGTGCTAGATTTCCGCTCAGTCCAATTGGACAAGGATTTGACTTATGAGGAGGAGCTGGTGGCTATTCTAGCCCGGCAGGTCCGACAGTTGAGGTCTAAGAGTTATCCTTCAGTTCGAGTGCAGTGGAGAGGTCAGCTGATCGAGGCAACCACTTGGGACTCCGAGTCGGACATGCGGAGTAGATATCCACACCTTTTCACCAGTCCAGGTACTTTTCTATGTCCGTTCGAGGAAGAACGTTTATTTTAGAGGTGGAGAATGTGATGTCCCGATAGGTCATTTATAGTTTTAACCTTTATTTCTGTATTTTGAAACCTCGATTAGCTCCGTTTATCCTTCCTTGATTTGCGTGCGCAGTCCGTATCTTTTTTCGAAAGGTTTTTATGTGAAAATTTGACTAAAATGTGAAATCGTGCCTTAAAAACTTATTTGAGTTGACTTCGGTCAATGTTTTGAGTAAACAAGCCTGTATCAGTATTTTGACGATCCCAGTGGATCCATATCGTGATTTGGGACTTGGGCATAGGTCCGAAATCGAATTCGGAAGTCCCTAACTCGAATTATCACAATTTATTGAAAACTAGAAGCTTAAAAGTTTAAAGAATTAATAAGTTTGACCGTAGTTTGATTCTGTTGCTACCGGGTCCGAATTTTGGTTTCAGAACTTGGTATAGGTTCATTACTGTATTTATGACTTGTCTGCAAAATTTGGTACAAAACGGAGTTGATTTGACGTAATTCGGACGTACGCTTGAAAAATTAAAAGTTCTCAAGTTTCATTGAAAATTTCATTCATTTTGGTGTCTGATTCGTAGTTCTAGGTGTTATTTTGGTGTTTTGATTGCGCGAGTATTTTTGGACTTATGTGAATGTTTGGTTTGGAGCCCGAGTGGCTCGGGTGAGTTTCGGATGGGCAACGAATGTTTTTGAACTTAAGAAAATTTCTGGTTTTGGCTTGTGTTGTCAACTAAGATACTCCCGTGATCGCGAAGTGTAATATGGGATGGGGGAGTTTTTCTTCATCGCGAACGCGATGGAATGTAAGCTAACGCGAAGCCTTGCGGGTTGCCCTTCGCGAACGCGTGCAGGCTTTTGCGAACGCGTAAGGTTGAGGACCTGGGGAGGGGGGATCGGTGATTTGCTCTACGCGAACGCGAGCACTGGCTCGCGAACACGAAGGCCTGGGGGGAGCAACCTTCGCGAACACGTAGGCCATTTGGGCCGCTGTGTATCGCGAATGCGGCAGACCCTTCGCGAACGCGAAGAAGGCCTGACGCCCAGACCTTAAATATTTCCAAACACGGGATTTCACCCATTTTTCACTACCTTTTCATTATAGCTAGGCCTAAAGGAAATTTGGAAGAGAAAATTCATCATCCTTTTATAGGTTAGTATACTTTAACTTATTTTCTTCCATTTATATCATCACCCATTAATTTCTAGCCTTAATCTTTGTTCTTTCATGGTAGAAAATTAGGGATTTGGGAAGAATTGGATTTTTTTTTTTTTTTTTTT